AAGGAGAGCAAGCAGAAAGCACCAGTAGCGAAGAATTTTCTTTGGAGATGTGTGATAGGAAGCTTGATTTTGGTAATAGGAATAGAAAATTTGAAGAGAAGAAATCCTTTTGGATAACCCAATGCAGTATTTTTTGGATGAGGTCACAGAGGCCATAAAGCACAACATCTGAAACGGTTGCCGGCGAAGGAGGTCTCTCCACCAGACACCTAATGACCACATTGAAAACAATTATCCCTTTTTTTTTTCCCCACTGTGAAATAAACAACACATCCCAAAGTGCGTGCAAATACAAAAAGTGCATATAGAGAGCCAGTGGAAAGACAAATACTACATATGTGCCCACCAGCCAGTTTAGGAATAGAGCATATTGGTGTTCTGTTAGGCTGGATTGTAAACTCTTTGGCGCTGTATTCACTGAGTACGTAATACGTGCTGGGCCCTTTGCAGATGATGTCTCCATTAATCCCCAGAGCAGCCTAACAAGGGGATATGGGTGTTATCCCCACTTTACAGGTGAGGAGACTGAGGTTTGGAGGGGTTCAGCCGTCTATCATGGGCTCACGTGATGAGAAGCAGGTGTGTGATGTGTGGGTTTTCAGAGGCCTCGGACTCTTGTTGTGTGGTGTCAGTAGGTTAATGATGTCTGGTAGGGTGTAGTGTTTTCCAGTTCTGGTATCCCACTCCGGACATGGACAAGGTTGGCCTTGGCTCCAGAGCGCTAAGGTGGGTGAGTCCCCGAAGTTGGGGAGGCCCTGGCATCAGTCTCTTTTGCCCAGGGGTCCTCTCTGGCCACCTTCATCTCCCACCCACCCCTGTGTTCATGGCGGGACGGGGTTTCCAGGAGGCAGGGGTTTGTTCCCAAGCCCAGAAAGGGTCACCCCAGGGGGCTGCTGCATGACAGCGTCTGCTTGCACCAGTGAATGATAGATGAATGTGCTATTTCCAGAGAAGGGACGTGAAGTGCGTGTGCAGAAGCCAGAATTGCCCGAACTGGAGTTTTCGGTGTCTGCTGTCTTCCATCCATCTTGGTGTCTGCTAGTCCCCTCTCCTCCAAGCCAGGCTCACATCCCACACTCCCTGGGCAAAGACCACCCGCAGTGGTCATTCCCATTCTTTCTATATCATCCGGATGATGGAGGGCTCTGGAATCTCTAGTCTTTGCTGTCCGGGCCTTGTTGGGTGCTCTGTCCATGGAAAGTGCTCGGCTGACCTGTTGGATGCAGAAGGAAATGCGCTCCTGGCACGCTCACCTCTGCCAGGGGCCAGGGATCCGGCAAAGCCCTGGTCAGCAGCCGCTTCAGATCACCTTTTTGGGTCACCAATGGGGCGGGGCTTCCTAGAGCAGGACTGGAAGCTTCCCTTCCTGGGGGGCTAGGAGCTCGCCAGGGGTAAGTGCACTGTTCTCCCCACATGTTTAGTTTGGATGTAAAACAGTAGTGGGTTACTTCCAGTAACTATTGAAAGGAGTGACTGGTCTCTGGGTGAATTTCTTAAAAAAAAAAAAAAAGATTTTATTTATTTATTTGAGAGAGAGAGAGTGCCACAAGCAGGGTGGGGAGAGGCAGAGGCAGAGGCAGAGGGAGAGGCAGAAGTGGACTCCCCGTTGAGCAGGGAGCCCGATGCGGGGCTCGATCCCACCATCCTGGGATCATGACCCGAGCCGAAGGCAGACATTTAACGAGTGAGCCACCCACGCGCCCCTCTGGGTGAATTTCTATTGTGATGAGCTGTGGGTTTGAAATCAGGTTTGTTGCTTGCTCTGCCAGAAGGTGGGGGAGCCAGCTGCTGTCCCTGCCCAGAAAGCCTGAAGAGATACAGAGCCCTCTAGGGCTGGAGCATGAAACCCAAAGCAGCCCTGTTCCTTAAATTTGTTTCTGAAATCTCTTTCTCCGGGCCAGTAGGGGTTCATTCATTCGTTCCTTCATTTAAAAATTATTTACTGACCACCTATTACGTGCTCAGTGCCGAGGATTATAAAGGAGTTTCTTAACTTCTGGCAGTTTTCTAGAATGTGTGGAATATGAGATCGACCTGCATTCTGCTCGAGTGTTACGGGATACGCTTCACGTGTGTGCTTCTGGACGTGGACTGCATGAGAAATGGAAGTGATTTGGTTTGTTCAGGTGGTTGGATGGGGGTGGGGGGAATATTTTTTTCCATTTCAACTTCCCGTATCATCTGCGCACTTCGTGAACAGGAGGGGCTCTCTCGTCCCCCCTCCATGAGCCACCATTAAGGAAGTGGGGACATTTAACCTGGGAGAGAAAATACTGGGGCCAGAGCTGCTTTCAGACCCCCAAAGTGCCGTCCTCATGCCTCATTTGGTAGAATTTGTCGGTGAAGCCGTCTGGTCCTGGCCTTTTGTTTGTTGGGAGTTTTTGGATTACTGATTCAATCTCCTTGCTGGTAATGGGTCTACTCAAATGTTCATTTTGGTCACACCTCATTTGGCAAGGCTTTAGACAGGTGACTCCCAAAGAGGTCCTGGGACAAGCAGCCTCCGTATCACCTGGGAACAGGCTAGAAACACAGGAGTCTTAGCCCTGTCCCAGAAAGAGAAACACCAGGGCTGGGGCCAGGAATCTGTGTTTTGATGAGCCCCCTGGGTTTGAGGACCACAGCTCCACATTTTATTTAGTCGGGGCGGGTGTGGGGTGGGTGGGGCTAGGACTCTGCTTTTCCTACAAGCTCCCAGGGGACGCAGTTTGACTGTTGGCCCGAGGAGCATGCGTGAGGACCGGTTGTACAAGGCAGTCAGTCTGTCTCTGGCTTGTGAAAGATGGCATTTGGGTATAGCCGTCCAACAAAACACCACGGTGCTGTGAAAAGGAATGAAACCGAACTGTAGGCACCAACATGGAGAAATCCTCCAGATTATTTTGAAGCTAAAAAAGTAGATTTTGAAAATATCTTTGGATAAGTTTGCTTCCATTAAAGCCAGGATAGTAAAATCATCATAAATTCCATTTTTGTGTTAAAAAAAATATTTAAACATTTTAAAATGTGAGTTTTAATTCAGCTACTTTTCAGTTGTTCAGTATATTTTTTTCAACAGCTAGCACATTATGGGGAAAAGAATAACCATTTAAAAAATACATGAAAACATCTACATAGAGTGCTCGTCTTTCCTTTTGCCTCAAGCTCCAGGATGGCACTGTTGGGTCTTGTTTAAGATTTTGATCACTGGGTCCTATGGATTTTTTTTAATGTGCTTCGATTATCTCACTCGACTGATGAGTTTTTGGCATGCCCTTAAAGTTTTACATCTCAGGCTTCGGGGATCCCCGTAGGGGATGGCTCAGCTGGCCTCTGGGCTCTAAGATGGTCTGACTGTGGGGGCCGCCCCCTCTCTGCTCCCTGTACCCCAGCACGATACTCGCCCTTTAGAGCCTACGTTAGGTCTGACTTACATCAGTCCATGTGACTTTCTGCCCTCACAGTCAGGATGAATGCTCTTAGTGGAAATAGGGAGGTCTGTGCTTTCACGAGGCTGAGCTCCCTGGTGGAGATGGCACATGGGAACTCTCCATCTAGAAGGCAAGCACTACCAGTATTAGCCCATTGCTAAGGCCAGCATGAGATCTAGTTGGGAAACGCTTTCATAACCGTAGCAGATGCCACCCATGTCCCGCCCACACCCCTGGCTCCTGCCATTTCTGGGCACACCCATCCACGTTGCAGCTGCCCACACCTGCAACTCTGCCTGAGACTGTTCTTGTGCACCCCCCAGGGATGGCCCCTGACAGGCTGCTGGAGTGGGGCGGGGGTGGGAGGAAGACCCTAGCCGTGAGGGGCAGGATGACTCAGAGGTAAGTGTTCTACCTTGTCCGGTGGAAGTGGACTGTGGTCGCCCACAGCAGTGACTGCCTTGCTGTCCCCACCTTGTAGGGCTCCTTCCTCTTGCTGCCCCACCTCTTCACTCACCGACAGGCGCTGCTGGGATTTTTGTCACGGGGTTTGTTCCCAGGAAAACCGCAACTAAAATAGAAACGAGGTTTACTCTGCCCACTATAAAATCAAAACATTAAGGCATACAAGTGGGAAAACCAAAACCCTTCCTCCCAAAGCCAGGTGGTGTTTCTTTGCTAAGTTTGCATCGAACCCTTGGAGTCATACTTTGTCTCCTGCCTTAATCATTTTTCTCATGTTGAATCCCTGGTCAGGCTGACTTTTTTTCTCTCCCTATTTTTTCTACCCCTCAGCTCCTGGCAACTGTTGATCCGCTCTGTTCCTATGGGTTTGACTTTTCCACACATAAGTGGTACCACGCAGCATTTGTCTTTCTCCGTCTGGTTTATTTCACATAATGCCCTCGCCATTCATCCATGATGTTGCAAATAGCAGGGTTTCCTTCTTTCTCATGGCTGAATAATATTCCATTGTATAAATATATACCACATCTTTTTTATCCGTTCATTTGTTGATGGACACTTAAGTTATTTGCATGTTCTTGGCTGTTGTGAATAATGCTGCAGTGAACACGGGTGTGCCAATGTGCCTTTCAGATCCTCTTTTCATTTCCTTTGAATATATATCCTAGATGTGGGATTTCTGGATCACGTGATAGTGCTATTTTTGATTTTTGGGAAGCCTCCATACTGGTTTCCATAATGGCTGTGTCAGTTTACATTTCCACCAACAGAGCCCGGGGGTTCCCTTTTCTCCACATCCTCAAGAACCCTTGCTCTCTCTTGTCTTTGATGGGAATCATTCTAACAGGTGGGAGGTGATTCACACTCTCCTGACGATCAACGGTGTGGAGCACCTTGTCACGTACCTGTTGGCTCTTTGCATATGCCTCCTTTGGGAAAAGGTCTATTCAGTTCCTCTGCCCGGTTTTGAACCAGGCGGTTTGCTTTTTTTGCTATTGGGTTGTGCATCATGGTTTTTGTTTTTGTTTTTGTTTTTGTGCGTCGTGTTTTTCAATGGCTTCATGGTTTGGAGACTCTGGCTTGGCTTTGACCCACTGGTGATGTGTCTGCCCGTCAACCTTACAGGCATTCGCCCCTACAAATGTGACATCTGCAACAAAGCCTTCACCCAGCGCTGCTCTTTGGAGTCTCACCTGAAGAAGATCCACGGGGTGCAGCAGCAGTACGCCTACAAGCAACGCCGGGACAAGCTCTACGTCTGCGAGGATTGTGGCTACACGGGTCCCACCCAGGAGGACCTGTACCTGCACGTGAACAGTGCCCACCCGGGCAGCGCCTTTCTCAAAAAGACATCCAAAAAACTAGCGGCTCTTTTGCAAACCAAGCTGATGTCCACGCGCCAGGAGAATGCCAACCTGAGTGAGGAGGAGGAGAAGTGAGGGGGGTGGGCAGGCAGCCAGAGCTGCCGTGTTTACAGGGATTTGGGGTTTTGAAGGTCCCCTGCCCCACTTGGGTTCAGTTCGTCCCGCTGCCCTTCTGGGGCCTGAGCAGGGCCTAGAACAGATCTAAGGGTTGTTGATGATAATAGTGGTGTCTGGCCCCCCCCCGCCCCCCGTACCCCATGTCCTGTTGAATAGTCGAAATTAACAAAAGTTTGTGGATGGTCATGATCACCATGAGGAGTTTTTCTTTGTTTCTTTGTTTCTTTGTTTCTTTGTTTGTTTCTTTCTTTCTTTTAGGATTTTCACATGTGGAGGCAGAGGTGTTCTTAGAGAGACTCATTTTATGGTGCCTTGAAATAAAAGTACTTTCACTTGCCATGCTACTCAAGCAAGGAAAATGAATTTTATTATTCCGAAAGAGTTTACAGGAATTATTTTAATAAATGAAATGTTCTTGTGGAACTTTCCTCATAAAAACAAAACAGAGCATTGGGTTCTAGCTCCCTGTCTAGGGCCTAATGTGTGACATTCGACTTCAGGTTCTTTGGGGTGGGTGATTTTGTATTGGTTGGTGAGTTCGAGGAAGCAGATCTTGAGCACTGGGTAGGAGGGCAGGTGAACAGGTCCCCCAAGGCAGATGGGCAGAGACGTCTGGGGTGGACGGGGAAGGTCACTCATGGATGCTTTCGTCATCCATGCTTTTTTGTGTCCCTGAGGTCACTGTGGAGACGCTTCTGGCTTTCTGGGGCTGGGACTTGGTGGCTGCAGGCACTTGCTCCTCCCTTGAGTCTGGCCCTGGCGGAGAAGCCACGAACTCGGGACCCGGAGGAATGCTGGCTGGCCTGGTGCACGCTGTGCCCTTGTGGGAGGGACAGCAGTCTCCTTCGGGGCATGTGACTGCTGAGCTCTGTGACCTTTGGCCATCCTCATCTCCTCACCTGGGAGGCCTGCCCCAGAGGCCCAGGAGGTTCACAATAAAGCAGACCTGAGACGGAGATCGGGCAAAGGAGAGGCAGGAGGCCCTGGGGACGAGAGAGGTGGCCAGGTGGTTTCCAGGGTCCTTCCATGACTGGAGGGGTAGCAGGAAGGGCCCGACCCCTCGGAACCATGGTGGCCGAGAGAGATTTTCCCTAGTCCGGGGAGCTGCCTGAACAGATTGGAGTGCTGACCTACTCTACCCTGCGGTCCTTCAGCTGCCTTCCCCCGGTGCCCCGGGTCTGAGGGCCCCAGCCTCATTTTCACCCTGGAAGAGGAAGAAAATCTTGTGTCAGGACCAGGCCGCTTCTTGGTCTGGGGAACATTTGGGTGATGGCGCCATTTTCGTACTTCCTCCCTCCTCCCCTCGCTTCCTCTCCCTCCTCCCTCCACCTCTCTTCCTGCTTCTCTCCCCCACCCCCCACCCTCCAATGTCCTCCTTTCCCACACTGTGGGCCAGGCATTATGCCAAGATCTGGACAATTTCAGCTGCATGGCAAGTGAACATTTCTCTTGCAAGTCCACTCCTCTTTCTTTCTTTCTTTTTTTTTTTTTTTAAGATTTTATTTATTTATTTGACAGAGAGAGAGATAGTGAGAGCAGGAACTCAAGCAGGGGGAGTGGGAGAGGGAGCTGAGCAGGGAGTCCTCCAAAGGGGCTCGATCCCAGGACCCTGGGACCATGACCTGAGCCAAAGGCAGACGCTTAACGACTGAGCCACCCAGGCGCCCACCACTCCTCTTTCTTGGTGGAGGAAATAAACCGTTCTGTGGAGCCCCTATGATGTGGGGCACCCAGCTTGGCACCCCTGGCTGCACAGCGTTCTCTGGAACAATCCTCAGAGCACTCCCAAGGGGGTCAGCGTCCTGGTGCCCAGAAGCAGATGAGGCAGCCGCAGGGGCCATCGGCTGGTGGCCGGAGGAAAGTGCCAGGAATCCTAACTCTGGTCAAAATACCCCTTTCCCTCTCCCCACCCTTAAGAAAGGAAAGAACTCCCCGCAACCCCCCCATCCCCGGTTCAATTTGGACTATGCAAGAGGCAGGCATGAGACGAGGGCAGGCTTTGGGAGATCCTCACGCTTTTGGTTTCTCTGAACAGCAACACCCCGTGCCCCAGAGCCATCCTGAAGGGTCGCCGTGGTCCTAGGAGCTCTGCCTCACATGAAGGTCCAGGAGCTTGGTCTACGTGGCCACGTTCAAGCATCCGCGGTGGCTGGGGATGCACTTGGGATCCAGAGCAGCAGAGTGGGATGTTGTGAAGGCCACGTGGTGCAGCCTCCTGGGACAGCCAGCGCCGAGGCCTTGGCCCTGGCTGCAGAGGGCCAATTGCTGACATCCTGTCGTCTCCTAGCACTTGATGCAGGGGAGAGCGTCTAGAGAGCATGATTTGCTTTCCACAGTGATCTGGGTAATTTTGACAACAAAAATGAGTATTCCTGTAAGGGATGATCTAAATGACAAGCTGGGGCAGCTGGTCTCTGGTCTGGTTTGCACAGGGAATTGTGAACTAGCTGACATGATGTTCTCTTTAGGGATGGATTTTTAGTTATTGATTTAAAAAATTTTTTTTCTTTTTTAAAGTAAGCTCTATGCCCAACATGGGGCTTGAACTCATAACCCTGAGATCAAGAGCCCTATGTGCCACTGATTGAGCCAGCCAGGTGGCCCTGGCACAGATTTTTATCAAACAGAACTCTTTTGGTTGCAAGTGACAGAAACTCAGTTTAAAATGACTTTATCAGGGGTGCCTGGGTGGCTCAGTTGGTTAAGTGTCTGCCTTTGGCTCAGGTCATGATCCAAGAGTTCTGGGATCAAACCCGCATTAGGCTCCCTGCTCAGTAGGGAGTCTGCTTGTCCCTCTCCCTCTGCCCCTCCCTCTGCCCACTTGGCCTCTCTCTCTCGGTCTCACTTTCTCTCTCAAATAAATAAATAAAATATTTTTTAAAAAATAACAAATAAATTAAATTAAATGACTACCAGGAGTGCCTGGCTGGCTCAGTTGGTGGAACATGTAACTCTTGATCTCAGGGTTGTGAGTTCGAGACCCACACTGGGTGTAGAGATTACTTAAAAATAAAATCTTTTGGGGAGACTGGGTGGCTCAGTCATTAGGCATCTGCCTTCGGCTCAAGTCATGATCCCAGGGTCCTGGGATTGAGCCCCGCATCGGGCTCCCTGCTCAGCGGGAAGCCTGCTTCTGCACCCTTTCCCTCTGCCTACTTGTGCTCTCTATCTCTCTATCAAATTAATAAGTAAAATCTTTAAAAAATAAATAAATTAAAAAAAGTAAAATGACTTTAACAGAAAAGAGAATGTATTGGCTGACAAATCTAGGGTTGTTCCAGCTCCAGGGATGGCTGGATCTAGGTGCTTAAATCATGTTATCACTCATCTTTCTCTCTGTCTTGTATCTGGTTTTCCTGAAGGTGACTTCTATCTCAGGCAGGTTCAAGTGGGGATCTCATGGCCAACCATTGCTCTGGACTCCTGTCCCATAGTACAGCGGCTCAGCAGAAGAAGGGTTTGTCTTTCAGCCAAAGATCTTGGGCTGATACTTCTTGTCTCTAAGTGGCTCGATTTGGCTCTTGGTTCCACCCTGAGACTGTCACTGTGCTGTGGGAGATAGGCAGCCATGCTCCTGCCTCTCCTGAAGCCAGGGTGGTGTGAGCAGGTCAGCCACACCACCGGCTTGGGAGTAGGAAAGTGGTTCCCCAGCAGAAAAGCGGGTGCTATGACCAGAGAGGAAATGGATGTTGGGCAGGTTTCCTAGCTAAGACAAGGCACAGCTGCTGTAACAAAGACTCCCTACAAATTCTGTGGCTTAATGAAGAGAGATTATTTCTCACCTAGCAGTTCAGGGTTGGTGGTGGCTCTCCTCATGCCATCAGTCAGAGACTGGCCTTCTTTTTTTAAAAGATTTATTTCTTGGGGCACCTGGGCAGCTTCATTGGTTAAGCATCTGCTTTCGACTCAGGTCATGATCCCTGGATCGAGTCCCATATCGGGCTCCCTGCTCAGTGGTGAGTCTGTTTCTCCCTCTCTCTCTGCCCCCCACCCCCGCTTGTACTTGCACTCTCTCAAATAAATAAATAAAATCTTTAAAAAAAATTTATTTATTTACTTATTTTAGAGAGAGAATGAGAGCAAGTGGGGGGGGGGGCAGAGGGAGAAGGAGAGAATCTCAAATGGGCTCCACATTGAGTACAGAGCCCAATGTGGGGCTCGATCCCATGACCCTCCTCCTCCCAACCCCATTTGCCTGTCCTGCTCTCAGCCAATTGTCAGGAAATCCAGCTAAAGTGTCTGGGATCATGATTTCAGGGGGAACTAGTTCTCAGGCTGGGGGCCTCGGGACCTTAGGTCCATGGGTGGTGGGCATAGAAATGCATGCACGAGTTATTGTCAATATTTTCTGTCCCTCTTTGGAAACCATGTATGAACTTGTACAAAGTCTGGCCAGCAGTATCTTCGCTTTTGGTTGGTGTGAGGTCAGCACAGTGTGGAAACTCACACATGTGCTGGTCAGAAGTGCCTAGTGGTGGTGCACTTTGGAGAAAGGGATCTGTTATCAGTTCAGGTGGTTTATTTGGTTGATGTCTTAGGTTGAGTTTCTAGAAGCAGAGCCTGAGACAGGAATTCTGGGCTAAGTGATTTCTTTCTTTCTTTCTTTTTTGAGATTTTATTTATTTATTCGACAGAGAGAGACACAGCGAGAGAGAGAGAGCACAAGCAGGGGGAGTGGGGGAGGGAGAAGCAGGCTTCCCGTTGAGCAGGGAGCCTGATGCGGGGCTCGATCCCAGGACCCTGGGATCATGACCTGAGCAGGAGGCAGACGCTTAACGACTGAGCCACCCAGGTGCCCCACTAAGTGATTTCTTGAGAGAGGCTCTCAGGAGAAACCAGTAAGGAGGAGATGGAAACAAGTTACAACAGGAAGAAACCAGGCAAAGATGTGGGCTCAGCTGGAGTCTAGCCTCAGGTTGATCCCAGGGGGACTCTGTAGGGTGAATGGCACTGTAGACGCTGTCCCTCTTTGTGGCTGGGGAACTAGTCATTGGCTTTGGGTTATCCCTGGTGGGGAGGGGGAAAGGACATGGCCACTGGGCTGTTTAGCTGCCCGTGTTCTAAGCAGCCGGGGGCTTAATCACAGGAATGGACTATTAGGGGTGAAAAAGCTTGAGGTCTGTAACCTCTGGCTGTTTCTCCATGGATTATTTACTTTTTGATAAGGGACCTCTTTTGGAGCTAAAGGAGTGAATCACTCCTGCAAATTATGTCGTGTTTTGGGGGAGAAATAAAAAAAAAATATTAAAATGCATGCTGAGAACAGTCTTCCCTCCA